ATCGACAATAAACTAATGCGTACAGAACATTTCATATTACAAAGGTTTATTAGTGTACGATCACTACTGAAGCCATTTATCCTTCGTTATCATAGCTTCAGTGACTGACAGAAATATTGTTTTTACATTAGCAGACTTTAATAGCGCGTTTTTATAATGGAAATCCCACTTAAATATATTAAAACGAGAGTAGTAATAATTTTAACGCCGAAATGTTTTTTAATACCAATGCATTGGTTACTTTAATTATCATAGATAGCAGTGTTCTCCAGTTACGCATTGGTATCATCAGCGTCACTAGTAAACAATGTGCAAAACTGATTTTCGGTGACCAGCCCATAATAAATACCCCAAATTGAAATATCCGTAAGGTAAATGTTAAGGATTGTACTCAATATATACACGCCAGTTCGACCCACACCACTACGCATATGAATAAATAGAAAAAATCTAAGAAACGATAGTTTTACTAAGAAAAATTCGATCTCATCGCGGCACGAATGTCTACCAGCAGACATCGACTTATTTAATGCTAAGCAATTCAAAAATAACCCAAAAACTTTAAATGCGGAAATTTTCGCAGACACGGCGAAAAATTTCTCGCAAGTCCAGTCACCCGCACAGCCTTCCATGCACCACATGGCAGCAACAAAATAATGATGCAAATGAACACTTTTCGTTTTGTTCAGATCGCAGCCGCGTCTGAACAAAGTTTCATTATCATTCGGAATAATTTTGGTAAATTCAAAAAGTAATACACGGCCAAAATAATAAGATTGCATTGAATTTGAAATGCTATCACCCGCACAGCCTTTCATGCACCACATGGCAGCAACATAATAATGATGAAAATGAACACTTTTCGTTTTGTTCAGACCGCAGCCGCGTCTGAACAAAGTTTCATTAATTATCGTTCGGAATAATTTTGGTAAATCCAAAAAGTAATACACGACCTAATTAATAAGATTGCATCGAATTTGAAATGCTATCACCCGCACAGCCTTCCATGCACCCCATGGCAGCAACATAATAATGATGCAAATGAACACTTTTCGTTTTGTTCAGATCGCAGCCGCGTCTGAACAAAGTTTCATTATCATTCGGAATAATTTTGGTAAATTCAAAAAGTAATACACGGCCAAAATAATAAGACTGCATCGAATTTGAAATGCTAAGAAGACTGTGGAGTGCGCGGGACTCGACACAAGAAAACGTGTCCTAAACGAAGCTAAATTGCCGCTGTTGAACCAGCCAAGCGCTACGTATGAGGCAGTGCAGAACAATATGATAATATGACACGATGATAGACCAACACTGACAATATGATACAATGATAGAGCAACCAAAGGAAGATTTCTAGAAGAGTCTAAGGCCTCTAGAGGATTATTAAACCTGCAAAGGTCATCTAATGAAGATATAGTCTCACTAGGAGAGGCATCGACCTGGAGAAAGTAAGGGTTTAGGTAGCGATATGAAAGTCCATCTTCGCCTAAACTAAGACTTATATTTTCCATTTTTCACTTCATTGAATGAATTTGATTCCATTTCACAGGAGTGGCTCGCTTAGTTCAGCTACATGCGCTTTAAAAGATTGTTTCGTAATAATCGTTTGATAAGGTTTGTAACTCGTAATAACTCGTTTGATAATTAATGCTACTCACAAAATAAGGCCGAAAAAATAAAACACTTTTGTCATGTGGATGGAAATGACATTTTCAGAGCAAACCAAAAGACCAGAAATTTAACCTGCGCAAGCTATCATAACCATGACAACAGATGTGAAGAAACTCTACCAGACTTTAAATAAACTTGGTTTCTGAATCATTAGTTCGTTGGAAAGTTAAGCGAGCTGATACCAGCACATAAGTGGCTAAATTCTACAGTAGAAAGGTGATTTTCACGCGGATCACTTGGAATGATGCGAATAACACGTCCCAAAATTTGACTTCCTTTTAAATATAACTGAATGTTTTCTAGAAGAGTTGCCTATACATGATTTACACAAAAGAATCATACACACGAGAGAGTTGTAAAATTAAACATGCTTTATGAAGATGGAATGCGGAGGCCTCAGCACAAACTAATGAATATCTCGCGAGATTGCTTTTGGATGCAGGGAAACTAAGATCTCAACCTTCGTTAAATATTACATGCAATAGTTAGACTCTAGCCGGATTTCTCCCCAAGCCATTTATGTTGTGAATGTAAAATGTAAAAAAAACTTAGCAAGATAAAAGACGCTTGCCAAGATGGAGGGCAATGATTTACCATAGAATGCGAACCCTCCTAGCCAAGAACCGAAGATAAGCAGTGGCTTAATAATCCTTCAAAAAGAGTGTAATCCATAGAACGTATAAAGAAAAATTAGAAGCAGAATGTCACACAAAATAAAGAGCACTTCGTAAGTCTAAGGAGCTGATGCAGTAGAGAAGCTTGGGAGAGTGCCGGTGTGAACGCTCCTAAATAGACGATAACATTTTATGCGCATAACAACACAAACATATTATTTACAGCTCGCTAAACTAGGTAAATTGCAACCATTAATTCATCATATTAATAATAAACTCCTCCTCTTCAATTAATCTTAAAAGCATAAGAAATATCCCGCTGTATTTAAGAGCTCCGGAGGCATGCTTTGTGTGTACGCAAAGAGTGGCACATGTAATGAATTATTTATATGCTTGTCTGTAGGCATAGCGTAGAATAAACTTTTGTTTCAAGTGAAGCATGCGAAAGAATTCTTCGTACATAGCAATACATGGATTGAGAAACTGGATGCCAGTTGTATTACATCAACAGGCGGGATTCAGAAGTAAGTTTTGCAATGACAAGCACGACGCTTTTAATTCCAGTGCAGGAACTGCCGAAATGCTGAATTAAATTGCCACCTTTTAACTGGGAAAAAAATAAAGCAATTTCTGGTATTGGTCACAATGGTTGTTCAAAAAAGTTGTCTGCAAATGCCAAGAAGTTTAGCAACCGCCAACCATGAGTCATTTGCTCCCCGACACGAAAAACTTGTTGAATTTATTCTTCCGAAAGACAAGCAAACGATATGAAAAGAAGATTCCAGTAGCGAAATGGATACAATAAATGAAGAATTGACACAATAAATTGTGTACCCGTAAACTATGGAGAACAATAGATAGAATAACACGATGACCAGGGATAAATTTCGTCCAGTGACTGATGATGAAGCAAGCTATATACGTCCATACATTGGTCCGTTATAATTCCTCACAGAAAACATGTAACGAAACACAACGATGTCAGTGAAGGTATTTTGAATATTTTTCATTGGAATAAACAAAAAATATATATTCGGGGACACGTGGGGGCTTGATTGCGTGCCAAATCAAAACATTGAATGCTCTGCTATCAGGCAAACAGGAGAACTTATCGACAACATGTGTCAAAATAATGCGTCGTGATCTCAATTGGAACAAAAATATCAAGTCGCCGTTGCCATAAATTACTCAGTCTATTATCGTTCTGGGGACGGTGTAAGTTTAAATTATTTAGGGAGGAGATTTGGGCTTGTATAACCAAGGAAAAACACGCCTCCAGAACCGAGACGCTATCGTGGATGGCACGACAAAAAATTTGTTAAAATATGTAATTTAGTTTGTCCCGCATTTCACTAATGGTTGTACATTGAACTAAATATCGAGAGCTAGACACTTTTAGCAAATTATTCTCATGGAACCTTCTAGTTAGCAAACATTGAACCAAATTGAGCGTTTTTATTTAGGATTCCAAATGTTTTAATTGAAATTGTGAATTGAAACAGAGTTTCACGTTACAATTCGACGAACAAAATGTCTACACCACAATGCTTCAATCATTTCTACTATTGCCATCAATAACCTGGATATAAAGGTTGCATCGGCCAACAGATCAGATATTCTGACTGATAAATGATTAACAAATGGGACATTTTGAACTGACTGATAAATGATGGACAAATGGGACATTTTGACCCGACTGATAAATGGTGGACAAATGGGACATTCTGACCTGACTGATAAATGATGGACAACTGGGACATTTTGACCTGACCGATAAATGATGGACAATTGGGACATTGGGCACAAACGGCGCCTCGACCTGCAATAAATAAGGCGTCTTAATGGGCACAAACGGCGCCTCGACCTGCAATAAATAATGCGTCTTATTCTGTGGTAGTTGAAGATTTGACTTATAAAATAAATTGTCTCTTCACGTGAAGTGAAAAAGTAACATAATAGCAAGGCTATTAGTAGAAGCAGAATTAATGCCATTCTGCATTGAGAGAAGCGAGTTAAACGGTAATTTTGGCAGCAAAGCCATTAAAGCATGTTAAATATACGCACTAAAAAAAACTAAACGTATCCTCATCGACAACAACAAGCTTTTAGATCAAGATGAGAAGATAGACACCAATAACGCTCCGACTCAATAAAGCAATTTATATCAGTAACGCGTCGTCGATGCGAGTGCAAATTTGAGGAAACCAACTCACCGTTCCAGTCAACGTGGTTAAAATCGAAACAAAAGAGATCGGGTTTAACAATACCGAACTTCTTTTTACTACATATAATAATCCTGAGTCTATAACACCAGCAACGGAGAGGATAATATAACTTCCATGCATACTTACTTTTAAGTGTTCTATTCATGCCATGCGCGACCGATTTATCTTGAACAAGACATTTTGTTGCAAAAATCAACGAAGCATTTCTACTACTTGGCAACCCACCAGACATCAGGCGTTAAATTAACGTATTTCAAGTGTTTAACGGTTTAGACTTAGAATTTAAACCGTTATAGTTTTTTAAAGTTTAAACGTTTAATGTATGTTTACTAAGCGTTATTTCAGCGTTTTCTTCAGTAGGTAGAGCTGAACTCGTATATATAACTGATCGTATATATAATTTTTTTTAATTCAATGTGGACCTCTTCCTCGAGCCATCGGGGTAACCACTTTTCTTCAATAAATAAATAGAGCCGAACTCACCAAAAGTTGTCCCGCTCGTTACCTTCAGAAGCTGGCAAACTCGTCCTCATAGACGGACTTCTTGGACGTCTTCGTAGGGACCTCCTCGTCCTCGTCATAGTGCGGGAACTGTGACGTGTCGTCGTCGCCTTTGAGTTTAGGGATAAGCGGTGCAGCGATCTGTTTAGCATGCAGCCAGGTAGTGACGAGGGTACCATGGTCATATGGGCACCAGCCGCCAATTATTGACGGCCTTTCAAGCCAAATCCACCAATCATAGACAAGAAAATAGAGTTATAGAGCGTAAGTATATATGTTCACTGAGCGAGTTTTAAAAACTCGCTCAGTGAACACATATACTTACGCTCTATTTTCTTGTCAATGATTGGTGGATTTTGCCTGGAAGGCCGTCAATGATTGGCTGATGACCTTACGATCTCTTCACTTTTTTGAAAGTATACGCCAGGGTAAGTGCAAAATATGTAGTATAATGTGAGCTCACACATGCAACAATACGCCGTGCAGCAAGCAAACTGGATAAAACTAGCGTGGATTAAACTAGCGTTATTAGTCAAATTTAATGCTGCGAAAATAAAAGAACACAAAAGAATGATCAGAGAAACGGTCCTACAAGAGGAGTAAGGTGACAATTAGTAGAATTGGGTGCAATTATTATTGTGTTATTAGCAAAAAATTAAAAAACGATTTTAGTGAAATAACAAGCTAGTAAATATGGAAGCAAAAATAAAGATAAACCAAATTCACACACAGAAAACAATTACCAAGAAAATCTACACAAGGCAAAATGTTAAGGTGTGTACTTTTTATAAGTTGTGAACCATCATGCTAGTATGTACAGTTGTGAGCATCATGCAAACATACCTTCTTCTGGTATATAGATATCCAGTCTGTGGAGGTAAACATACCTTCTTCTGGTATATAGATATCCAGTCTGTGGATGTAAACATACCTTCTTCTGGTATATAGATATCCAGTCTGTGGAGGTAAACATACCTTCTTCTGGTATATTGATGTAAACATACCTTCTTCTGGTATATAGATATCCAGTCTGTGGATGTAAACCACTTGTGATTCTTGATGTCATTGACGCCGTTCTTGAGGTTGCCGTAGCGCTTGGTGAGGTCGACCTGCAGGAGGTTGCGTAGCAGGTCCTTCAGGTCGCCAGAGAAGTGGCCGGGGAAACGAACCTGTCGCACAACAACACATCAATAAATTTAACTAATGGTTCATATATAAATAATAATATATAAAAATAATAATAATATATAAAAATAATAATAATAAATAACAATAATAACATATAAAAGTGGTCGGGGAAACGAACCTGTTGCGCCAACACCACGAGAATAAATTCAAAGAATAGCTAATATAACTAGCATTGATATTATTAGTTGTTAAATAGCAGCTATATTATTGGAAGCTGAATGAATATACAATTTTCCAATACGGTTCCACAAACGCCGTTTGGCAGCCATGGATAAGATTTAAAATAATGCAAATGAGCATATGTAACATATTGTGGAATAATTGACAAAATCAAATGACAACGCAATGTGTTTTTGTATAAGGAGCGTGTTCTCTGATAGCATATGTATTAAGAGAAATAGTCGCAAGTACAAATTTAATGGCTGTTGAAAAATTAAGAATATCGTTATACTGTTTACTGTTGATATTAATAGGATGCTTGATATCAATGATATCATTAGCATGCTTGTACTGACTTCATTTCAATTTTTTCCTCATTTTCTTCATTAAAATTATATTGAAGCACAGTAAAGGCGGCTTGCACTATTCGTTACTTGAGTACTCGTAGATCTGTATGGGCTGTGTAATAGTATACAGCACGCACTTTGCCAGACACTATCCTCTCGTACATCTGTATGGGCTGTGTGATAGTATACAACACGCACTCTGCCAGACACTATCCTCTCGTAGATCTGTATGGGCTGTGTGATAGTATACAACACGCACTCTGCCAGACACTATCCTCTCGTAGATCTGTATGGGCTGGTCAGCGAAGAAGGGAGGGTAGCCAGCTGCCATCTCGTAGACCAGCACACCGAGCGCCCACCAGTCCACCGCCTTGTTGTACCCCTGCGCGAACATCGTGAGGTATAACGTACAATATCAACACTGGCTTGTTGTACCCCTGCGCGAACATCGTGAGGTATAACGTACAATATCAACACTGCCTTGTTGTACCCCTGCCCTCCGCGTAGCCACGGGATCTCTTCTAATGGCCTCCGCTTCCCACCTGCACAGCGAAGCTGAGGTCTAACCCATGGCTGAACACCTCTCTCTACTCTGCTCACAGTTCATTGCCAGTGCCCTTCGACCACACCATCCCAGCTACCCTATCGTCACCCAGACATCAGGGCCCCGTCCCATGCCCAGTCCCGCTTCCTCCCTTCGGTCTCTCACCTGCTGGAGGAGGGATCATTCCCCCCCGACACCTACTCCACTGCCCTCAGTGGAGTATATGTAACACAGCTCCCAACAAGGTGCTGCTGACCCCTGCCCCCGCTGTCTCATCCAACGAGCTTTCCTTTCCCAGGGCGGCCAGAAACGTCCTTTCCCAACTTCGCTCAGGTTTCTCATCGCGGCTCAACTCATACCTTGCCCGCATTGGTGCAGCCAACAGCCCTCTCTGCCCTGAGTGAGGCACTATGGACCACACCACCCATCACCTCTTCAGCTGCCCATCGCATCCCACCTTGCTAACCACACTGGACCTCTGGTCTGACCGTGGACCGACTGCGGCCTTCCTCTCATCGCTCCCTTCCTTCTCCGACATCCTTGGAGCAGAACCTTGGAGCGCCGCCGAGCAGCGGTATCGGGCAATTAACAACAACAACGAACAACAGCCGTGAGGTTTAACGTACAATATTAACACAGGCTTGTTGTACCCCTGCACGAACAACCCCCAGCTGACCCACCTCTTAATGACCCACCCATCCCCGCACATGACCCACCTTGCTGAGGATGATCTCCGGGGCGAGGTACTCAGGCGTGCCACACAGCGTCCAGGTGCGGCCCTTGACGCGCTTAGCGAACCCGAAGTCTGTCACCTGCAACATCGTCCGCTCTTACAATATATTTACTGAATACTGAAATGTTAAGAGCTCGTCCGCTCTCACAATACCAAATACTGAGATAGGTAGTTGAGAGCTCATTAGCTCTCGACACTACTAAATAATGAGATAGTTGAGAGCTCATTAGCTCTCGACACATGGAATAATGAGATAGTTGAGAGCTCATTAGCTCTCGACATTACTAGATAATGAGATAGTTGAGACTTGAGAGCTTATTAGCTCTCGACACATTGAATAGTGCGACAGTTGAGAGCCTGTCTCTTATACACATCTAGATGTGTATAAGAGACAGTAGATATCCAGTCTGTGGAGGTAAACATACCTTCTTCTGGTATATAGATATCCAGTCTGTGGATGTAAACATACCTTCTTCTGGTATATAGATATCCAGTCTGTGGAGGTAAACATACCTTCTTCTGGTATATAGATATCCAGTCTGTGGAGGTAAACATACCTTCTTCTGGTATATAGATATCCAGTCTGTGGAGGTAAACATACCTTCTTCTGGTATATAGATATCCAGTCTGTGGAGGTAAACATACCTTCTTCTGGTATATAGATATCCAG